TCTCCCCATAACATTCTATCAATCTCAAACTGACCCCACTGCCCTGCTGTCTCCCCATAGCCTTGTATCAAACCTAAACTGATTCCACTATCGTACTCTCTTCCCACAGCCTTGTATCAGTCGCAAACTAATTCCACTGCCCACATGCTCCCTGAAAAGCCTGCACCAATTCCAAATTAATCCCATTGCTTCATTATGTCTCCATAACTTTGTATCAAGCACCAAACTAATCCCACTGCCTCACTGTCTACTATTAGACCTGTATCAAGGTGGCAAATACACTGGTTGCACCACCAAAGGTACCAGACTGTTACATTGATCTCATATCTCAGTCAGAGCTGAGCAGTGCGGATACAACAAGCTCAGTCAGGAGATGACCAGCTACAACAACTCATCAGAGGGTGGCCTGAACACATGGAACAGGTCCCCAAACAAGGACATTCTTTCTGGTCATTCAGAGACCAACCAGAACTCTTCAAGAATTTGTTTTAATTCACTCATGGGATATGGGCATCACTGACTAGGCCAACATTTATTGCCCGTCCCTAGTTGCCCCTTGAGAAGGTGGTAGTGAGCTGCCTTCTTGAACTACTGCAGTCCTTGTGCTGTGGGTTGACCGACAATGCCCTTAGGGAGGGAATTCCAGGGATTTGACCCAGCGACACTGAAGGAACAGTGATATATTTCCAAATCAGGTTGGTGAGTGGCTTGAAGGGGAACATGCAGGGGGTGGTGTTCCCATGGATCTGCTGCCCTTGTCCTTCTAGATGGAAGTGGTCATGGGTTTGGAAGGTGCTGTCTAAGAATCTTTGGTGAATTTCTGCAGTGCATCTTGTAGATAGTACACACTGCTGCTACTGAGCGTCGGTGGTGGAGGGAGTGGATGCTTGTGGATGTAGTGCCAATCAAGCGGCTGCTTTGTCCTGGATTGTGTCAAGCTTCTTGAGTGTTGTTGGGGCTGCACTCATCCAGGCAAGTGGGGAGTATTCCATCACACTCCTGACTTTTACCTTGTAGATGGTGGACAGGCTTTGAGGAGACAGGAGCTGAGTTACTCACCGCAGTATTCCCAGCTTCTGACCTTCTCTATAGCCACTGTATTTATGTGGTGAGTCCAGTTGAGTTTCTGGTCAATGGTAAGCCCCAGGATGTTGACGGGGGATTCAGTGATGGTAACACTGTTGAATGTCAAGGGACAGTGATTAAATTGTCTCTTATCGGAGATGGCCATAGCCTGGCATTTGTGTGGTGTGAATGTTACTTGCCACTTGTCAGCCCAAGCCTGGATATTGTCCAGATCTTGTTGCATTTGAACATGGACTGCTTCAGTATCTGAGGAACTGCGAATGGTGCTGAACATTGTGCAATCATCGGCGAACATCCCCACCTCTGACCTTATGATGGAGGGAAGGTCATTGATGAAGCAGCTGAAGATGGAACCTTCACATGCAAACAAGCCATAATTCTGCATGCTTTATGTCACAACATGCTAAACCATATGCATACAGAGTCATGTGGGCAGAGAATAAAACCTAGAGTTTAACACGATTCCCTAAATTGGCCCAACTTAAGAAGGACATCAATCAACTAATTAGATCCAATATGAAACATGTTAATTCCATCAACCTCAACAAACAAGCTAACCTCTCCTTCGACAAGGATTCCTCTGAGCTGTGGTGCAGATTACCGTGGGTCTTTCCCACAGCCACAGACGCCATTACATTCTGGTGACTGACTGTGTCACCAAGTTCCCTTTTGTGCTGCAAATTAGCTTACACTTCTAGTGCAAGGTTTGTTGACACAGTGATTGCCATATTCTGTCTGTTGAGTATCTCACAAAAATTGAGAGTGACACCAGCCCACAGGATGCTTGTGCAACCTTCCAAGATGTGTACGGGAAATAATGTTCAATACATTACTTTTTCTACTCACTAACCTTGTTTGGACGGCCTGGCAGGAAACAAAAGGGCACACAAAATTGTCCCTACCTCTGGACCGGGAGACCTAGCTTCAAGTCCCAGCTGCTGCAGAGGTGTATCCTAAAATCTCTGAGCAGCTTGAACAGAAAATATATAATGGTACCTGCCTCACTTTCAATCCGTCTCTGGAGTCAGTATAGAGGAGTCAACCATGAAGGACGCTGGAGAAACTCAGCAAGTTTGGTGGCATCAGTGGAGAGAAAAATAGAGTTAATGTTTCGAGTCTGGTTTGGTTCGAGTTGTAGTCAATCATCAGTGTAATGTACAGCAACATTAGTAACCATAGAACCCAGACTAGGTGTGTATGTCTGTGATATTGTAGCCTTGTAAAGAGTTAATGTCATAAATAAACTTCAAGACATCTGGCTCAACAGAACCAGCCTATGTGTTATGCATTAAATGGACTAAGAGACATAGTAAATCACAAATGTCATCGGGGGTAGCAGAGTTTTGGATGAAGTTTGTGTGGTGTGGGTAAAGTGACCTGGAAATAAATCAGGCCACGGTAAAAGTTTCAACAGATGGGCTGAGGTGTGTGTGGAGCTGTGTGAAGTGAAAGGGAAGAACTTCACAAGTGATCCAGTAGATGTGAAATGAAGGTTGATGTTATATTTATAATTCTCTCTCTCTCTTGTCTCTCTTTCAGGATCGCGCCTTCGGCAGGAAGATTTCCCGCCCCGGATTGTGGAACACCCGTCCGATCTGATCGTGTCCAAGGGGGAGCCTGCTACTCTGAACTGCAAGGCCGAGGGCAGACCGAATCCCACCGTTGAGTGGTACAAGGACGGGGAGCGGGTGGAGACGGACAAGGACGACGCCCGCTCTCACCGTATGCTGCTACCCAGCGGCTCCTTGTTCTTCCTGCGCATTGTCCACGGCCGGAGGAGCAAACCCGATGAGGGAAGCTACGTCTGTGTGGCCAGGAACTACCTGGGGGAGGCCGTCAGTCACAACGCCTCGCTGGAGGTGGCAAGTACGTCGCAGGCCAGTGGGGAGGCCGGGGCGCTGTGGGGCCGATGGTGATGTTGTAGCGGGGAGCAGTGGAGGGTGTCTGCAACCCTCTCAGGTGCCAGTGTCATTGGTTAAAGAGTCAGATGTGGGTTGTGTCGGGTGCATATGGCTAATTATCAGATTCTAGATGTATCAACTTAGATTTCAGCTTGGTCAGGAAAACAGATATTGTCTCCAGTCACCTGCTAAATCATATCAACTTCTATCTTTTGGTTTGTTTGTTAAAAAGGTGAGGATAGTAGTGCTGCTTCTTTGATTATTGTGTCTACTTTATTGTCTTGATGCCTGATTGTAAACAGGGATATCACATTGAGCTGTACTGTGTGTCAGGTGTTACCTACGATACAAACGTTGCTATAGCTTCACTCGGTGTTATGTCTGTGATTTTACTGGTCGTCACTGGACTCTGGAGAGGCTACCCTGTGTTGTCTCCCTTTGAGGGTGACATGATAGTGTATGCTGATGGGATCACAGGAGGTGCCTGCCATTCTGAGCAATGTGCTAGGAGCATCACACAGGGTTCAGATTTGAGATGGTTTTACATTTCATGCGGGCATAAAATGACCCTTGTAATGATATTGGACAGCACTGACAATTCGGGGAAGGATTTCTCCGACATAATTGACTGGGATTTTGTTGCTTCCTGCTGCTCAGACTGCTTTGCACAGGACAAAAGACCAAGAAGGTGATTTTCTGATTGTGTTCCGAGATATTACTGCTGTGTGATTGAGACAACTTGGTGCTTTCTTTGTTCAGTATCCCCATTGGTTTGGTTTCAACTTGAGAGAGAGAGATATATTTGCAGCTCTATGATGAATATATTTCACTTCCATCTGGCACTGTACAGCTCGAGTGTGTCTCAGCATTAGCTCCTGTACAAATACAGTTCACACACTGGGTAAAAGGAAACACTTCACTGCTGTCTGGTGCTGTACAGCTTGTGTCTATCTCAGTACAGCTCCCAGAGAGTGCACAGTGGGTAAAGTGGAATCAAAATTAAAAATTGCTGGAGAAACTCAGCAGGCCTGACAAATTCTGGGGAAAAAAAGCAGAGTTAGTGTTTCAGCTCTGGTGATCAGAGCAGGAATTGGACCCAAAATGATAACTCTGTTTCTCTCTCCACAGGTGCTGCCAAACCTGCTGAGTTTAACAGCAATTTCTGATTTCCAGCATCTGTAATACTTTGGTTTATATTTAGGGTAAGGTGGAATGGTACGTGTAAGTGTGTGTGTCTTTGTGTCTGTGTTGTGTGTGTGTGTATGAGGGTGTGTGTGTGTGGGTGTGTGTGTGTGTGTGTGTCTGTGTGTGTGTGTGTGTGTGTGTGGGTGGGTGTGTGTGTGTGTGGGTGTGTTTTGTGTGTGTGTGTGTATGAGGGTGGGTAAAGGTGTATGTGGGTGAGGGATTGTGTGTGTGTGTGAGTGTGAGGGTGCGTGTGTGTATGTGTGTGTGTGTATGTGTCTGTGTGTGTGTGTGTGTGTGTATGTGTGCGCGCGCGTGAAGTTGTGTGTGTGAAGCTCTGTGTGTGTGT